GGGACCACCCCTAGATGTGGGAGCATCTTATGCTAAAGGAATAGGTGGAATAATTAATGCTTTGTCTTTGATAATTAGCTCAGGCTTATCAAGTCAGCTATTATTAAACAACCTTCCCCACCCCACCCCACCCCACCCCTGCACAGCAATTCCTTTTTCCAGGATAGAACAAAGAGAGCCAAATGTCTTAATGAGTTTGAAGGAAGGAATGTTTAAAAATCAGAGGAGGGATTTGTAAGAAACATTCTTCACTGTGAGTCTTTTCTTCGGAATACAATAAAAACGTGGACTTCAAAGGTTTTCCATCTCCCCAACTTTGTTGAGCCTTTATGCAAATATCTTAATCCCTGGACCAGTAAAACCTTTGTTTACACGAAGGCTCCTTGAATTCAGGGTAGGTGGTGAGCTGACTGCTCTTCTCTTTCCTTCATTTCCTGTGCGCTGATGCCTATCAGCTAGCCCATCTGTGAGGCCAAACTCCAGCAGCCACCTGTGTTAGAATGAAAACCAAGCTCACTTCCTGTCTCAGTGTGCTCCCTCTTTGGAACACACTGTCTTAGTGGAGAGTTAAGTTTTGCCTTGTCAAGACACTTCAAAAACACTTAAAAATAAACACATTTCATTTCAACAGAGAAAATGGAGAATGGGGAAAGGCCAGAGTGGGAAAATTAGTGGATCCATTCGAGATAGAAGTTCCATGAACAGCAAAGAGACCATGAAGGCGAGAAAATAATCAAAAACGCAATATAAGAAAAGTTCCCAGTAAAGAAGAGAGTATGTGTGGAGGCAACAGCAACAAAAATCCAAAACAACCAAGAGCCATCACGGCAAAATTGCAGAACATACTAGATTGGGGACTGAGAGAAGTCCTAAGTTCCTACAGAAAGAAAAATACCCAAAAGACCAGGTGGCATTCGATGGGTGCAAAGGGAGATAGCATTGAACCCATCAGCAGAAAATCTGCATTAGAAACAGCAGAGAAGTCAAATCCCAAGAGAGAATTTTGTCCTTCTTATAATTCTACACCCAATCAAGCACCAATGTCTGTGAGGGATTGGTTCTAGAACCTCCTCTGGATACTCAAATAAACAAATGTTCCAGTCTCTGCTATAAAATGGTGAGGTATTTCCATCTAGCCTCTACACCTCCTCCCACACACTAAAAATAGTCTCTACCTGGCCTCATACCCCAAGGCATTAATTAGCTCCTTCCCAGGAAGTGCCGATAACAGCACAGTGAACTTTACTTAAGCAAAGGGTAGGTCTCCATCATCCCCAAGGAGGCAGGTGTGAGTCCAGAAGAGATTTGGGTAGGAGGGCACTGGGTTTTGACTATCTAAGGCTGACCAGGAAACATGACCACATGCCATAGTTCAATTTTCAGAATATCAGGGTCATGGGAGATACTGGCTTTCATAGCATTTCCACGAATTATACATGGGAAATAGTACTGGCATGATGCTCCAATTGGAGTAAGGACATCAGGAACACCGTACTTAGCTTAGAGGTGACATCTCAAAAGAGCTTTAGATGAAGAAACTCACAATTAAAAAAAAAACAAAATAAAACAAACTTTGTTCAATTGTGGGTGTGTTTGGAATGTTGGAGATGTTGAGAAGAGGAAACTTGGAGACTAGAAGGGGAAGGTGTGACACCATTAATTTTTTGTGAGTATAGCTCTGTCGCGAAGACAAAGAATAGCCTGCAATGAGCACTTCCAAAGCCAGATTCATGTCTGAAGAGCTCTGAGCTTGGCTGGGCCTCTCCTTGTGAGCTCCCCAAGGGCCCATCTGTCTACATCATTGTGAGTGTCCCTTCATGGAGCTACCACTGACTGTGTCCTTCAGAGAGATAGTCGGTGTGTGCTACCTTCATGTCCCCAGCTGTCAGGGGCCATGCGTGACATGTGGTAGGCACTTCTCATCAGGGGTGGCTTGATTTAGGCTTACTATAGCCTTGGCTCAAAGAACAAAAGGACAGTCTGTCAGTAGTGACCTGTCCCTTCTGTTAAGGTGCTGAGTGGTTGGTGGCTAGAGCCATCGAGAGGAGCTGGTTCTCTTCACTGTGTGTTTGAAGATTTGGAGATGACTTACACATCCCTTCCAACCTCAGGAGCTCTCAACTGACGCTAATTTCTATCCTATGGATGTGAAAATCTCACCTGTCTTGTCAAAACCTCCAACTATGCTTTAAAATGTTCATTCCTATCAATACAGTAATTTTTTTCTTTGCAAAATCTACTCAAAAGATACAGACAACAAAATACTGGAATGGCTAGGGGCCAGACTAACAGCAAGAGCTCCCTCCCCCCTTCTCACACAGATGGAGAGAATGGGACAAACTTTGTCAGTGTATACAGTGAGTCTCAAACTTCTGGAACAATACCAGTTACTGCCGAGACTAAAAAGACTTTATAGATCTCTTAAATTAAATAGAAATATTTAAGTATTTAAATAGCATGAATGACACACGAAATTTGAAAGAAGACAAAAGAAAGTTAGTTAAGACTCCTCATGTCTTGAAGTCTCCACTGTTCCTACCTCCAAATCCATCATATCTGGATCCATAGGACAAAAAGAATTACAGAGACGAGAGCAAGAAATACAGCAAAAGCCAGAAGACACCATTCATCCAAGTTTATGGAAATGGCGCCTTGAACAGTATAGCACTTTCCAGCAAGGCACGGTGACCCACCTGGGAAGTCAGTGCCAGCCAGATGGGAGTCTCTTTTACCATAAAAACGAGGAGAATGGGTACGAAGTCAAGATCCCAGTAATAACAAACGTCTTCCAGGTTAGTGTCCATACTTGCTGAGCAGCTCTGGGTGTTATCTACTGCCTTTATCTCATGGTTAATTGTTCATCTAGCTTCACCCTAAATACACACCTCCATAGCTTCTCTAAAAGGACTGATGTGTAACTTAATGTGCTGTGGTCTCCAAAAGTGACAGTCTGGGAATCCAGGTGGCCAGCTTTCATTGTCGCCTGGCCCAGCAATATCTACCCATTAAGGAGGTGGATAGCAGAGAATGAAAGGGACATTGGAGAAAGAGGCGTGGACAGCCTAGCGGAGGTGTCCAGCCTGCGCTGGGTGGATGTGGACCTCGAACACCTGTTTATTTTATGACCGACCCCTCTTGGCTGCCTGTGTCATGGAGCTTTGAGGACATCTGTGCTCGGAAATCTGCTTTGAAAGACTTCATTTCCAGGACAGAGCTGCTGGAGAGAGGATCACCAATGGCCTTCACAATTGTCTCACGTCAAGTTCACAGACTTCAAGAGGAGACTGTGACAGGGTTGAGGAAGGGCCACAGGTAGCAGGCAAGAGGCCCTATGTGACACTTCACACCTGAGTGAGAGGGAAGCCCATAAGACTGCCACCTTTCCAAGCTACTGATGTTTGAGTTTTCCTGTTGACTTTTAAGCCTCTCTATCTAAGGAACCCCCTTTAGGGGTTAAAAATTTATATTTGCAAGAAAAAAAATGGAGGACGAGAAATCCTTGCTTGTCACACTGCCTAACAGGGATAGAAGGGGTCAGGAACTGACAACACTTGAAGATGCGGGAAGCATGGAGGCAGTTTGGTTAGTGTGCCTAAGAACCCATGTGTTGCGTCCCTCAGATGGTCCTCCCCTCATTCACAGCTGCTAGTGTCTCATGTTATAGGCACTTTTAAGGCCAGAACTAAGTGTTCTGGGTCAACTGGATGCAGGGTCACCTGGAAGCACTTACCAACACCCATGAGGACGGATATGGAACTCATGAGTTCAGTGCTAGCAATGCCATTCGGGTGACTTCTACACACAACATCAAGGGCCTAGAAGAACCCACGAATGACATAGAGAGGAATCAATGGGCCAGGTCCACCAAGAACCAGTCAGGAGGTGGAATGGTTTGGAATTCTCTCTTGAGTCCTCTTCATGAACGATCTGACCTTGGAATAAAGTGACTTCTTGTCAGGCCACAGCTCCAGCAAATACCTGACCCCCGAAAGGCTTTGCTGCCTCACCCTCTCCACAAAACTAAGTGGCTCCAACTGGACACTTGGAAAGAAAACAGACTTGGATAATTGTGGTTAGACAAACAATTTCAAGATCATTTGGCCTGAGTGTTTAGAAGGCTCAGGGGGCCCGAGGAATGCAGTGAATTTACAGGAAGAGGGACAAGAACACACATTCCTCCAGAACGCCCAATCCAAGTTCTTGTTTATTTTTTGGAACCAGTAATGTCTGGAGAGAGGTCATCCTTTCTGAGGTTGGAGAGCGAAGACATGCCCTGAGGTTATAGCCAGACAAGAGAAATGAGGGCTGGAAGGACATCTAATGTGGTTTCTAACTAGCTCCAGTCCAGAGGTGGGAACTGAAAACTCTTGGAGCCTACAGGGGGACCTCACAGGGACTCAACCCTGAGAGAGTGTGGACGGACGCACACCTGAACATGTGGCAGGCAGCAAAGGAGCTGTGATTTGGTGTTGTCTAAAGGTCTGTGTGGTGAAGGTTGGTCAGCCTGTGGTGCTTCTGGGATGTGTTGGACTCTGAAAGTAGCAGGAGACTGGAGAGATGACTGAGAAGGCAAAGGAACTCTTCACCAAGCCCTTGGTAAGCTGAGTTCTATCCACTGAACCCACATAGTGGAAGGAAAGGACCAATTTTCACAAGTCATCCTTTAACTTCTAAACACATGCCATGGTGCATACAGGTGTGCACACACACAGATGTACAGACATACACACAAAGACACACACACACACACACAAACTAAATGTTCAAAAATGTTTTGAAAGTAAATGCTGTAGGCTAACCAAATATGAACTGAAACCAAAACTATTTGCAAGAAAAATAAACAACAAAACAAACAAAAACCCTCCCAGCCCTTGGATACTTTGTTTCAGTAACAGACTACTAAGTAACATCATCAGACAATGAAGTCTGTTAGGGCGGGTGAGGAGTAGAGGGAGATTGAAACAGGCTGATAAGTTCATGTTCTGTCAAAAAGTACACTGTCTCCCGATCACCAGTGCAGGAAGGCTCAAAGTGGCTCAGTGATGGCTCTGTTATTTCATGAGATTCTGTGCATGGACCTCCTCCATAACAAGGCACCTCGCTCAGGGAACTAATCTAGAATCCGCTTGTAACAGAGGTAGGTACCCAAGACAAAACACACAACTCTGGCTTTGGGGAGTGGAAGTCATTGTACATCAAATAGCTCAGTTGTAAAAGGAAACTGAGACACAGGAAACTTGGCGGATGCTAGCCTGGGACGGGTGAGATGCCCAGTCCAGTGCCCCTCCCGCTGGGGTGGCCACCTAGTCAGATCCCCACATCTAAGACCTCAGAGACCTCCATGTCTGTAAATCCTCTGGTGGCTGAGTCTGCTGTTTTAGCTCCCCATGCTGCGCAGCTCTATCGTGAGGGGAATGACAGCCATTGGCTGATGAGAACTGGACTGAGGACAGGGCAGGCTGCACACGTGTGTGCATGTGAGATATGCAGGCACTTGTATGTACTGCCTATGGAAATGCTTTTTTCTTTACTTCCCAGTTATTTTGGATACTTTGAAAACTATACTTTTTAGTGTTTAATTTTCATTGTGGGTTCATTATCCGTGTTACATAAGGGCATCTCCAAGCATGCTCTGTGTGTTGAGATACCCCTAAACCTCCTAGTTCTTTTTGTTGTAATTACTTAAAATGCCATAGTAGGATTCATTCTTTTAGCACTGTAATCATATATTCCCGTTGTCTTTTGGCCAGATGTTTTCCATGGATATTAACTGTATAAACAAATGAGTTTTACTGAAACATTTCCACCTGTGCATTTTAGTCATATTTACCATTCTTCCGCTCTCATGTCTCCCCTCCCCCGACTCTTTCCTCTTCCCTGAAGCTTCCCCTTTGACTTTCATGTCTTTTCTAGATTTTTTGTGTAATAGGGAACTCGAAAACATTTGATTTTCTAAGTCTAGTTAATTTTGCTTAGCACAATGGTCTAACCATTTTCCTGCCAACAACTTGATTCTTTACCCTCTTCCTAACTGAATGATACATTGTATATCCATGTCCCATTTGTTTTTGAGACTGGCTTCACGCTCCCGGTCCTCCTGCCTCAGTCTCCCGGATACTGGGATTACTCCCAGTCACGTGCTATATTTGATTTATCTGCTCCTCCACTAGTGGGACCCTAAGCTGATTCCGTGTCTTGTGTGGTGTGAATAGCACCATGCTAGACATGTTCATGTGTGTATCGATGCATGCAGAGTTAGGATCCTTGAGGTGTACACCCAGAGTTGCTACAACTGGAGTGCACGGAAACTGCTCACAAGCAACCTCATGCTGATGTCTGCTAGGTTGCACTGTTTTTATTCTCAGCAGTTGTCTGTAAGGGTTTCCTTGTTCCTACCTCTTTGTTGAGGTTTATTTTCTCTATTTCTTTTCCTTCCTTCCTTCCTTCCTTCCTTTCTATCCAGACTGATCTTATTATTGTTGCTTTAAAGTCAATGACTATCTTTTTGTCCTATCTAATTTTTTTCTATATCGTTCACTTTAAAATATTTGACTAGTATGAGACTAAGTGGGGTTGTTTTTAATTTTTTTTTCTTTTTGGTTTTACAAGACAGGGTTTCTCTGTATTGTTTTGGAGGCTGTCGGTCCAGCCTGGCCTCAAACTCACAGAGATCCGCCTGCCTCTGTCTCCCGAGTGCTGGGATTAAAGGCGTGCACCACCACTGCCCAGCCCGTTTTTTAATATTTGAGTATTGACTGTCCACAAATGTCTTAAATTAGATTTTATTCATTTTACTTTATTCTAGTCAGGTTTCTGTTGGTGTGATAAAAACACCATGATAAAAATCAACTTGGGGAAATGGGTTTATTTCCGTTTATAACTGATGACTTAGAGTCCATCATGTAGGGAAGTCAGAACAGGAACTCAAGCAGGAACTTGAAGGTAGGAGCTGAAGGCCATGGAGGAACCCTGCATACTGGCTTGCTTCCCTGTGGCTTCCTCTATGGGGCATTTTCCTTTGCTCCTTTTTATTTTGATTTTTATTCCCTCTCAATCCCAATTTTCTTTGAGTGATGTAATTTTTTTTTACATACTTAAAAAGCATGGGCTATAGGGCATTTTTTTTGCTCAATGATTGGTAAAGAAGGGCCCAGCCCACTGTATAGACTTGCCTATAGGCCAATCTGAAGGAGACATTTTCTCCACTGAGGCTCTGTCTTCCAAGATGGCCCTATCTTATGTCAAGTCAACAAAAACTATCATATTATATGAATGAGTGTTTTGCCTGTATTTATATTTTTATACCACTTGTATATCTAGTACTCTCAGAGGTGAAAATAGGGTATCCAAGTCCCTGGAACTTGAGTTACAGATGACTGTGAGCTACCATGTGGGTGCAGGGAACTGAATCAAGGTCCTTTGAACAAGCAACAAATACTCTTAACTGCTGAACAATGTCTCCGACCTCTGTCCATGGGCTTCCTGAATGCCTGATTTATTGCCTTTTAACTTTGTAGTCAGCATCTTTTAAAAGATGTTTAAAAACCCCATTCTTTTAAGAATGCAACTATCTGCATTATCCCTTCTAAGAACTCAGTTATCTGTGTTTCCTGTGTGTGTGTATGTGTGTGTGTGTGTGTGTGTGTTTACTTTAGTCTGGAGTTTTATAATCTGCATCTATACTTTTAGTATAGACTTAGACTATACTTTATAGTCTGTATCTATATTTGTTTTTAGTCTGCACCTGTACTTCTCTCAAGCTCACTTGTTCATTAGAGCTACATTAAACTCTGATGGTTACACCTCTAAGTATCTTGAAAGACCTTTTATTTATGTGTTTCTCTTGGTTTCCAGTTACTTGATTGTCATGGAATATTATCTTAACTAAGCAAAGATGTTTTACATTTGTTTATGCTGCAGAATATTACTTTAACTGTATAATGGTGTATTACTTTGATTTATGCTGCATTTATTTAATTATGTAAAGATGTGTTGTGTTTGTTTCACCTTGCCTGTCTAAGACACCTGATTGGTGCAATAAAGACTTGAATAGCTAATAGCTAGGCAGGCAAAAGGATAGGCAGGCTGACAGGAAGAGAGAGTAAACAGGAGGAGAAATCTAGGCTCGGGAGAGAACAAGAGGAGGAGAGAACAAGGGTGACTCCAGGGGGCCAGAAGCCAGGCAGCTGCCAGCCAGCCAGAGAATCAGTGGAAGTTCAGTTACACAGAAAGAAAAGAGCCCTGAAGCAAAAGGTAGATAAACAGGTTAATTTAGGCAGAAACAAGCCTAAACTAGGTGGAGTATTCAAAACTAATAAGGCCCTGGGTCATGATTTGGGAGCTGATTGGTGGCCAAAAAGGAAATTTAGTTTTAATGTGGTTTATGACTACTTTGAATTCCGGGCATAACATATGAAAAATAATCAATGCTCTGGAAGAGCTTGTCTTCATTCCAGCCAGGCTACTGGCCATCATGACCATGTCATCATGAATTTTATGTATCTGGTGTAGATCTATTCTAGTTTAGACTTCCTTTGGGGTACACTACTTGTTTATAAGATGAGGTTCTTCAGACACTTTGTTTTGGTTTTGTTTATTTTCTTTCTTCTTTCTTTTTTCCTCCTGTTGAATTGAGCTTTTGGCCGTGTTGCATTAGCATGTGGAGTTGAGTTAAAATATTGACACTCCTATGAGGGTGGGCATGAACTAAGTGAGTAGAGACTGGGGGCCCAGGGTGACACAGGAGTTAGATTTGACTTCAAAGTGAGTCACTTATACAAAGCACCATGGAAGAGTTGAGAAAAATGTGACAGAGGGAAGGACAAGAAAGGGAAGGGAGGAGAGGGGAGAAGAGAGGAGAGGGAAAGGAAAGGAAAACTTTCTCCACTGTATTCAGAGCTTACAGGACTTGAAGATGAAAATTAAATGACTCTATATAAATAATTATAATGAATGTTGACTACAAAGGATGAAAGCCATTGTAGATTGCCAGAGGGGACTCACAGAAGGTGTCTGGTCATGGGCTCCTCCAGACAGATGAGGTACACATTTGGTGTAATGTGACCTGCCTCTGGAGAGCTGACTAAAGCTAAAGAAACTGCCTCTTTACACAAAGGGACACCCTATGCAGTGCTGGAGAGAGTTCCAAGCTGAGTGGAACATGTCTCCAGTCCGCTGGTGATTTAGGGCATTGGGTTTATGTTTAGGTCTAAGCTTTGCAGGTCAGGGGTAGGAAAGGAACTGGTTTTGTTCTGGGAAGAGTTGCCATACAGGCCAACCCAGACTAGTGTCTCAGCCCCATCAACGTTGTCCTGGGTCACCTCCGGTTACGTTGTGTCTCTCAGCACCAGGCCCCTCTGCTGTAAAGCAGGGTAACTTAGCTCACAGGCTAGCACTTGGGCAGATGGATGGATGGCAGAAGCTTCCATCCAGCTTGTTTGCAACGGAGGGTGAGGGGATGATGGGAGGTGCCAGCTTTGTGGGCTATATCCTCTGAAGACCCATCCTTTGTCCTTTACACCCTGCGACTCCTCCCCAGCCAGCCAAAGTGCTCTTCCCTCTCAGACTGGCAGACTGAGTGTGATGTTGTCAACAGTCCTCCCTGGAAGTGTGCCCTGAAGTTGAGGAGAATGGATTTCACCTCCAAGGCCTCTGTCGAGAGAGGGGTTTTTAATCTTCCTAAGAAACGGAGCGCCATCAAGCAGTATCCACCTCCACGTGCCCAGTGTTGGGATCTCACAGAGAATCTCTCATGCTCCTACTGCAAGCCAACAGTATACATTGCCTGCTAAGCTACTGCTGAGTTGTGGGCCATGTTTCTTGGCTAAGGAAGCCTTGAGTGAATGTGTAAGGAGAGGTTGAAGCTCTGTGTTGTTGACATGGACACAGCCACATTGAAACAAATACCTCAAACCCATGGGAGTGGCAAAGATCCCCACCCCTCTCAGTCAGGCTCAGAGGGATGACAAAGCCTTCCTCTGGTCCACTGGTGACTGTTGATGGCATGTGCTACTTCCTACCCGGCCACAGTGCACAGACTCTCTGCTTCTGCTTAGCGAAGGTCACCTTCCCCAACAGTGTTTAGTTGGGATTGTTTGTAGAAGAGGAGGGGGCCAGAGGACCCCAAACCAAAATAGAACCGAGGATTGTCACAAAGAATTTTCTCCTGTGAATGCTATCTGACATTGGGCTATCTGGAAGTCATCTGCTCCCTGAAGACTTGGAGAAATGTTAGAAAATATTTTTAAATAGTTTAGCTGAAGTCTTGCAAATCCTACTCAGAAGAAGAAGCTTTCCTCAGAATCCCACAGAGATAGAAGAGAATTGAGAGCACTGGTGAAAATACTGAATCACCTGGGATACTTGGAAAGTTGGCAGGGATAAACGAGCCCTCCTGAGTTCCAGAGATTTGGGGAAAACCAAACAAAACAGGAAGAGTTAGCAGCATCCAGCCTGTGTGTTCAGAGGAGAAGGCACAAGGCCAAGCGAGGCCGCTTACTACCCCTGCCTCCTGCCCACCATCCCCACCCATCCGTGTCTAGTCTCTACCAGTGGCCATCAGCCCTACAGAGTGTCCTGCGGTTGTTAATCAAACTGTGGGGACAGCTTTGATAAGTATGGGGAGTGGCACTGGCCATAGGTTTCTGATGCCCCTGGGCTTCTTTACGCTTTTATACTACCTGTGAGGAGTCTAAAGGATTGGTCACGGGGATTGCCAGCCCAAACCATACAGTTTAGATATCTCCTTGGAAGCTACTGAGGGTGATCTGAAGGTTGTAAGCAGGTGCTGTGGAGGTTTCAGGATCCCAAATGGAGTTAGTTTCTTGTATAAAACTCCAGTCCTGTGGTGCTGAGAAAGGCCATGGAGAGAGACCACCATTCATGATTTGTCCCAAAGCAGGAACTACCACAGAATGTTTTCCTAATGATAGCTTATTTGGAATGGTACAGAGCAGCTGGCGGCACAAGGATGTCTAACTGTCTGTGTTAGAACCCTGGCTTTGCACACTTATCTCCCAAGCACAGACCACCAACAAGCCAGCCTTGACTGCAGGCTGACATAGGTTGCCAACTCCTGAACACCATCAGCACCCATGAGATATTATTCTCCTTCTGAAGCTTTTCTCTTTCCTAAGAAAACCCCAGCCTTTCTTTTGTTTTTCAGATGTACCAGACACCACCAAAGAAGGAAGGTAGGAAGGAAGGGAGGGAGGGAGGGAGGGAGGGAGAAAGGGAGGGAGAAAGGGAAGGAGGGAGGGAGGGAGGGAAGGAGGGGAAGAAGGAGGGAGAGTAGGAGAAAGGGAGAGAGGGAGGGAAGGAAGGGATAAAGGAGAAATGAAGGGAAAGAGAAGGGGGAAGAAGGAAGCAGGAAGGAAGGATCAGAGGAAGGAAGGAAGGAAGGAAGGAAGGAGAGAAATAAGGAAGGAAGGAGTTGATGAACTGTCATGTGGAAATTATGCATCTATAACAGAACAGTAATCCTTGTATCTTATTCTGTGTCAGAAAAAAAGATGAAAACTTAGAAAGACAAAATTTCATCAGCATTAGACCATAATCTATTAGCAGTCCATCATGGTGGAAAAACCAAGACAGCGGGCGCTTGAGGGAGCGGGTGCACTGCATCCACAATCAGGATCTGAGGAGGGTGACTGCATGCCAGTTCTTAGCTCCCTTTCTAAATGTTATACAGCCGAGAGCCCCTCTCTGCCCAGGGGATGGCCCTGCTCACAATTAACATGGGCTCATGTCTCAATTCATGTAGATAAAACAGCTCCTTCCCCACAGGCAGACCCAAAGGCCCATCCTCTAAGAAATGTAAGTATTCATGCCTCAAGACTGGAACAGTCTAGGAGTCCTGATGGCCTGCATAGTCAGCTTGGAATTGTGATAGTTGATCATCTTAGCAGTGGGCCATCTTAGCACCCCAAGCTTTCCTGTCCTCATTCCTGGGTCCCATTGAAATCTGATTAAAATGAACTCACTTGTGAGTCTGGAACCTTTAAGATGGGTCAGGATCTTTCAGACGTGTGCGTCTGTAACAGCCAGGTGTATGCCTACCGGTGTGGCATAGACCTATGAGGACATGAGGGACGGGAAGGCAATCCTCAGCAAGTGGAACAGAGTCACAGAGACAGTGGGAGCAGCAGCGCCCGGCCTCAGTGCGGTGACTGGGCAGCCCTGGAGGAGAGCTGGCCCTGGAAAATCAGGCTGACGTCCAGGCCTGGCCCCTAGCAGGTGCTGGCCAAGGCTTTCAGATACAGCCTTGAAGTCGAGCCTTTCTTCTTCCAAATCTGGTTCTTTTCACCCACCTCTCGCTTCCTTCCCTGTCCCTCCTGCATTTTCCTTTTCCATTTAAGCAAAACAGACCTTGAAATTCCTTGCTTCTGGAATGCTACTGAAAACAGCCCACTTGGAGAAGCTGCCTTTTCCATAAATACCCAGATTTATGAAGGAGAGGACACGATAAGCGGGAGACCGCAGACATTCCTAGGTTGAGCCTATTTGTTTGTTTGGCTTTTGTAGGGTCGTGGTCATCCAACACACACATTCTTTTCAGATATACCCGTTAGTTATGGAACTGGGACTGAAATTCCTGAAGCTAAAGGAATTGACTGTCACTGACCCTCCCGGCGCACAAACGGAGCCAAGTTGAAAGTTATCACCCATTAAATAATAGCCAACCACACTTGGGGCTATTGTGCCTTCTTTTGTTGTGCCTAACCAAGTCAAAACAAGAGATTAAAGCAAGAAAAGTTACCCCTCTTAATACCTCTATTCTCTCATCTGCACTGTGCTACCACCGTGGTGGGCCAGCGAGCCTCCAAGTGTCTAGAATGAAGAGCTGGTAGGGCACTGCTCATCCGAGCAAGGACCCCAGTTTGTGGTCAAACACAATCTTCTACTCGATTACTGGTTTCCATACTTGATTCCAAACCCCTTGGAAATGACCCTTGACCTCATCAGCTTAAATCCAATGACATGCCGGCTTGCCTGTTTTGGAGAGCGGTTTTTAAAAGGAAGGAAAGGAGGAAGAAAGGAAGGGCGGGAAAGGGAAGGAGATACTATAGTTTTGTTTTTCTCAAAACATCCTATTCCTACTTCCTGGCCACCTTAGAGAGGTGGTGTGTGTGTGTGTGTGTGTGTGTGTGTGTGTGTGTGTGTGTGTGTGTGTGTGTGCGCGCGCGTGTGTGTGTGTGTGTGTGTGTGTGTGTGTGTGTGTGTGTGTGTGTGAGAGAGAGAGAGAGAGACAGAGACAGAGACAGAGATAGAAACACAGAGAGAGAGAGAGACAGAGAGAGAGAGAGAAGTAGACGTGCATGGTGTGCACAAGGAAGTTAGAGGACAACTTTGTTTTTGGTTCTCATGGTCCACTTTGTTGGAGAGCAGGGCCTGTCTCAGTCACAGTCATGTACATTGGTCTAGCTGGCCCATGAGCTGCTGGGGATTCTCCTGTCTCCTCGACCTTCATTAAAAAGCACTGACCCAACTTTCACATGGGGTTCTGGAGATTGGAACTCAGGCTCTCATGCCTGCATAGAAGCACCTCACCCTCTAAGCCATCTCTCAGCCCCTTCTTAGAGATTTTAAGCAATGTACCTCACAATAGAAGACAAATTTTTACCTCAATACTTGATGCTCTCTGCTTGATTTTTACTCTAAAGAGAATACTAGTTTAGGAAATTTTTTCCTTGACATTTTTTAATGATAGAAATAAATGGTTGCGAGAAAGGGGTAAATAAATCTTGTGAATTTATACATATACACACATATATATACACATACATATACATATATATGTCAAATGATTTTGAAACTTTTCACTGTAAAGAAATGATTGTTGAGGAAGTAAATATATTTAATCTGGTGTAGATGTTATGCAATTTACAGATGCATTAAATATTATTACATGGTATCCATTAGCCTGTACAGCTCTATGTTTTTGTATCAATTAAAACTAAATTTCTTAAATGATTAATATTCTTGATCCTATAAGAGAATATGTATACCACAGTGGACATTTTCAGGAAAGAGTACAGAGTGTATGGTCTGAATGCATATGTCTCCTAATCTGTATGGTGAAATCCTTACCACCAAGGTAACAGTGTTAGCTAAGCCTCTAGGGAGTGCTTAGATAACAGGATGAAGCCTCATCAGTACAGTCAGTCCCCGATGGAAGGGACTCCTGGTTTTTATACTTCAGGAGCCCACTGCAAGGGGAGCAAAAAGCCATCTACAAACCAGATGCCCAGTCTGCTAGGGCCTTGGTCTTGGACTGCCGAGTTTTAAGAAGAGTAAGAAACGACCTTCCACGGCACACAAGCCATCAGTGTGTGGGGGTTTGCTACACCAGCTGGAATGGTCTAGAATCACCTTTGTGTATGGAACCAAGCACCCGTGGAGGGAAGGAACCATGTGAGCCTTCCTCTAGGATTGCTCAGGAAGGCTTGTGGTCTACTTCATCCAGCTGACTATTTCCTTTGGGGAGCTGACCCGCCCCTTACCATGTTGGGGGTTTTGACGAGATCTTTTCCTGCACTCTCTTGCTTTCAGGGTGTCCTCTCACTCAGGGAAGGAGGCCCAGGTCCTCTTGTCCATGTCTTTTTGTCACTCCTCCTAACGTCCCTCCTCATCTTCCTCCCTGCCCCGTGTTCCCACGGCACTCTGACCCCATTCCTTTTTTTTTTTTTTTTTTTTTTTTTTTTTGCTGTCACCTATATCTTTTTAGACATGACCTCACAGCTTGTAGCCTGACAGTCAAAGTCCAGCTGGAACATAAATGACCGCCAAGCTGCCTTCAGCTCCAAGTGAGCATCAGTTCTCCGAGGCTCTGGGAAAACATCTCTGCGGGACCCCTGCAGCATCAGAGAACCTGTGAGTGTTGAGGTCACTTCCCACACCCTGCAGAGTTCTCCTGCCATTTTGTGAAGCCTCCAATGATCAGAGTGGCTGAGTACCTGGAATAAGCCCGAGAACAAGGCCTCTTGTGTCGAGCAGTAAGAGTTCATTTCGAGGGGAGGTTAATAAATAAGGTGACATCCCGACTGTGCCAAATGTCACCATTTAACTTTCAACTCTTTGGGTTTAGCAAAACCAAATCACTCTCCCTTCCTGGACTTTCTCTAGCGTTCCTGTGACTGCTGAACTCGGTGTGTACTTTAAATGAAATATAATCCCCGCGCCTCTCCCACGTTCATACTCGACACAGCCAACTGCTAGCTTGTTTGTGTCCAAGAATACTTTTAAAAGATTTGTGTAAAGCTTCTTTTAAAGGACTTTCTTCCTCCCAGGCCTCTAGACAGGATGTTGTATTTTACTAAGGGTACATCATTTTTGCCATTTCCAAAATTTGAGTGTAGCTCCATGCCAGACATCGAACATAAAGAGGCTCCCGAACTTGCCAAAATGTCTCCTATTCCTTCTTATTCAAAAGTACCCATTTGTGAATATTATCCCAAGCAAATCTATACCTGCTATGGAGATAAATGTATGTTTGTCAGCATATTAAATTATCACTATGATATGGATCACTGATCTGTCTTCTACTTATTGCTTTGAATTTTGATGCTAAGGGCTGCATGGTCACACAATCCACACAAAGACACGGTGAGTTTGATATTTAATTCAGAGCATGCCAACGCTGGAGTAACACATACCCCAGAGTCCTGTCTCTCGGCACCATTTTTTTTTTTCCAGATTCCAGTCTGTTCTCTTCCATCGCCACCCTGGACTTTCACAGCCTAAGCTAGTTCATTCTGTTACCTGTGTTGATTCTCTAAAAGAGTAGAGCTGATAAAACACCAATGGTATCTTTGGAGGTTCATTGTCTCATCATGTTAAGTCGGTGGGGGGGGTTCCTTTTTAACCTTATAGGTCTTTCGGAGGTTTTGTGAAATTCTTATGTGTGTGAATATGTGTCTCTGTGTTTCTATGCGTTTCTTGTGATTTTTCTTGGGCTCTTTTTCTTGTTTGGCTGTTTTGTCATATTCTGATACGTTTTTGATTTATCTTACTTTATTTTTACCTTAGAAGCTTGTTTGAATTCTTTTTTTTTTTTTTTTTTTTTTTTTTTTGGTTTTTCAAGACAGGGTTGCTTGTTTGAATTCTAAAGGGAGACAGAAAGGGTTTGGGTCTGGAAGGGATGTGCAGTGGAGAGGAACTGGAAGAAGTAGGGGGAGGGGAACCATAATCAGAATATATTATATGAAAAACAATCTATTTTCAATAAAAGAATACTTTCTTTCAAAACAGGGTTGATTTTGAGAGGGAGCAAGGGAGGGGATGTAAGAGAAATTGGAAGGAGGAAAGGGAGGGGGGATAATTATCTACTTCTTAATTTAAAAAATAAAAATACATTTAAAAGGTACACTGATTAAAAAAAGAAAGGAGCCAGGCAGTGGTGGCGCTCGCCTTTAATCTCAGCACTCGGGAGGCAGAGGCAGGTGGATCTCTGTGAGTTCGAGGCCGGGCTGGACCGATAGCCTCCAAAACAATACATAGAAACCCTGTCTCGTAAAAACCAAAAAAAAGAAAAAAAAAGAAAAAAAAGAAAAAAAGAAAAGAAAGAAAGGAGAAGGCATGTACATTGGGAACAGTGACGCATGCCTTTAATCGCAGCACTCAGGAGGCAGAAGCGCGTAGAGCTCTGTGAGTTTGCGGTCAGCCTGGTCTACACAGCAACTTCTCCCCCACCCCCTATCTCTGGTGTCTTTTGTGTTGATTTACACATCAGTAGGGCAGAAATTGTTTCCATTTGTAGTAAGAGTCTCCTCGAGAAACAACCTTCATGTAAGGACCGGATCCCCAGTACTTATCAGAGAGAACAGAACAAATCACAGAATAGTAATGACACAGAAACAAAACACATCGGTAGCAATAGACAAGGAATGGACAAATAATACAGAATAAATTCAGACACTGAGTATTAATAATGATAAAATTACTATAAGGAAAGGAAACAGGGGAAATAAAAAATTAAAAAGCAAGATTTTTGTATGAAGAAAAGGAAAAAGGTGAGATTTTACAAGATTCAATTAAAGAATAAAGTAAGTAAGCAAAATTGGGTAAAAAAATGAATGAAAAATAGAAAGAAAAAACTGGGTGGTGGTGGTATATTTTTTTTTAAATACTATGTTTTACTATTTTTAGAAACACTCTTATTTACATATCCATTGCCCCATTCCCCCATTCCTTTGCCCTCCCATCCTCCCATGCTTCCCAAGCCACTCACCACCCACATTCCAGGGATAGTGAGACCCTCCACAAGGGATCATCGAAGTCTATCACATCATTTGGGGGAGGGCCCAGGCCCTCCCTTCCATATCTGGGCTGCAATAGTATCCCTCCATTGGGAATGGGCTCCCAAAGTCTATTTGGCCCTAGGTATAAACTCTGGCTCCACTGTTAGAGGTTCCATAGACTGTCTTGGCTTCCTAGCTGGTACCCACATTCAGAGGGCTTGGTTTGGTCCAATGCTGGGTCTCCTGCTTTACGACTAGGGTCTATGTGCTCTCATTAGGTCAGGTCAACTGTTTCTGTGGGTATCTCCAGTTCCATCTTGGTTCATTTGGTCATCTCTCCTCCCTCTCTGCAACTGGATTCCGAGAGTATAGCTCAGTGCTCAACTGTGAGTGCCTGTTTCCGCTTCCATCACTACTGTGTCAAGGCTCTAGGAATGGTAAACAAGGTAGTCATCAATCTCATTATAGGGGAAGGGGCAGTATATGTCTTTACTCCCAGCATTCAGGAGGCAAAGGTAGGCAGATCTCCATGAGTTCAAAGCCAGCCTAGTCTACAGAGCAAGTTCCAGTACAACCAAAGTTACACAGAGAGACCCTATCTCGAAAAACCAAAATAGAAGGAAAGAAAGAAACAAAGAAAAAAAGAAGGGAGGGAGAGAGAAAAAGAGAAAGAAAGAAAGAAAGAAAGAACAAGCTTAAACTCCTCATAGTTGAGGTAGACAGACAGTAAAGGCTTCTTGGGGGGTTCTCAAATGGTAGAATCTACAGATACAGGGGTGCCAGGTCACAAATGAAACTGTTATAATTCCTTCAATCTCCCACCAAGCAGGTTGGGGCTAAAATATAGGGGGAGCCCTACCCCTCATTTCCTACCCATATGATTAAGTGTATATTATCTGCTTCAGGGCAATATTCACTCCAGAGCCTCCCTAGAACCTTGGGGGCGGGGGTACGGGCTGGGGGAAGCACCCATAGCTGCTGCTAGCCCTGAAGAGCTTCGGTGACATATGGATGGAACTGGTGTCTACTTGCTCTGGGACTTTTGCAAATGTCTATGCCCTGACATGTCTCCAAATGTCTCAGAGTGTGTGGATCTACTGAGTCCGGACTGTGGGCACTGAGCCTCATTCTTGGCAATCTCAAAGCTGCTCCTGGAATACAGTATACATGGCTCTTGGGCTCCCCAAAGACCATGGGGTCACCAACTGCAAGTCCTCCACAGCCCTGGTTCCTCCTGTTTACATTTCTAATCAAGTTTTTGAGCTCCTGCCATGCTGTAACTGTCCCTGAGATCCTGTCACAGTGCAAATGCCCCTAGTGGCTCCAGTCTGTGACGGGGATGCCCCAGGGACCCTGAATTGGTGTTATTTCATGCTTTCTGATCCCCAGAATATTTCTGTCTTTAATAGGCCTCTCCTCAAGATGCTCCTGCCTCCGGCTCTCCCAGTTATGGTGAACTATGCAATGTATTTGTTCTCTAAAACTAACCGGTCATGCAGGAGGAGTTTCTTTCAGACTGAATCCCAGCCCTGGATTTAAAGCATCTACAAAGCTTGCTTGTTCCCTGTGAGCTTGGGGCTGCCAAGCTCTTGTCAGAGGGGCTGGCTGCTGTCCAGGCTCACCTGAGCTTCTGCATGGGATCCCCTCCCCACCGCCTGAGAACTGTCTTTGAGCTGAGAGCTGCCCTCTTTGCTGAGTGGCCCCTTTTCTTTGCCGGTGCTTTCTAGCTGTCCCATGGCCTCTTCGATTGCCAAGTCCTCCGCTCTTTCTCTCCTCAGAGTGTAGTCTCTCCCTGTCTGCCCTCACACTTCTCACTCTTGGAGTCATCAAAAGGGCGTTCACACTGCCCGCCGCTATACCCTGGCACTCCTGTCATTTAATTTCCATGTGGCCCAGCACAATGTTTTCCTACAGGGTTTTAATTTCTCGCATCTTCACCAGTCTCAAAGTTATAAAAGCACTTGTTAGACAAGTCTCCGTGTCTGAGAAGCGGAGTGATCTCTAGCCTCCAAATTCAGAAAGTCTACGCCATTTTCTTGTTAGTTTACCAGAGACAGTTTCTACCCCCGCCCCTAAATTCCCTTCATAGTGCTAAAAGGATGGGAAGCAACCCTCCCGTCCTGCTGTAATTATAGAAGTGCTCTCGCTGTCTCCATCAGCACTTGGCCAGGCATTTGCTAGGGACTGGGTTACCAGTTAGGTGCCAGTAGTAACTCTGACACGATCACAGAAAATAAACATTAGTTATCACAGCAACAGCTGTTTAGTTATGCCTCCAAGACTCCGTTCTCACTTGGACCACATGCCTTCAACCGCGCACATATGTTGAGCACAGGCGAGTACTGTGCAGCCTGGAGAGTTAACCTCCGTAAGACCTGAACATGGCTACTGGCTGACTGTTGCTTAGAAATTTTACCCACAGGAGGCAAAGGTTTCCAGACTTTACTGTACCTGCACAGGGCTGAAAAATGGCTAAAGATAAAAGCAGAGGGGTTTAATATCAAGTCAGGGATCAGGAATGGGCCACTGCACAAAATTTCATCTGGAAATGTCTTAATATAGCAGAAGCAATAGATTGTTGTTTGTTTTCGAAGCACTAAGGATCAAACTCAGGGCTTTTCACACGCTAGGCAAATGCTCTGCCTCCAAACTATAACTCCAGCTGGGAAGCAATGTCTTTTTTTTTTTTTTAATAGCTAATGAGGAGCCAGTGAGAGCAATGACTACCTAAGGCTTTGTGCAATGCCACCACCCATTTCACTTCAAAGGCCACGTGCAAGAGATTAATGAATGACTGGACCAATGAGTGGCACTCTCAAAGTTCACTGCTGTTGGGTCCAGTAAGGTTTACTATTACACTTGCAGAAGGTCATGGTGAAGGACCAAATGCAAAGGATTCTGATCTCTAATGAAGAAAAGATTATTACAAATGCCTTTGGGGGGCGCTGGAGAGATGGCTCGGCTGTTAAGAGCACTTGTTGCTTTTACAGAAGATTGAGATTGGATACCCAGCACCCACACGTGGCTCACAACCATCTGAAACTCCAATTCCTAAGGACCTGACGCCTTATGCTGACCTCAGCAGACACCCGGCACACACGTGCGCACATATATACATGCAGGCAAAGCATTCAACGCACAAAATAAAACAGTTTTAAAAAATGCCCTTGTGGGTCCTTCATGATTGAAGAGTTGGGAACAGAGGTCAGAGGTGCACTGGAACAACCAGAGCAATTCTTCTCATCTAAAGCCACCCATTTCCCGCAGATGTGACAGCCCCACACCCCTTC